TTTATAAATACCATTTTTGGTTTTGACAGAGACAACTCGCACAAGGTTGTCCTTCCCATAAAACACATCTACAATTCTCCCTAACAACCATTTACAGGTAGGAAGATTTTCTTCCTTGATCACTACCATATCCCCTATTTTAATATTTTGTTTAGCAATCATCCATTTATTTCTTTGAATCAAAGTGCTCAAGTAATTATTAGTCCAGTTCTTCCATATATTTTGTACCATTTTTGTAGTTTTTTGCCATAAACTAAGTCTGTTATTATCTACTTCTGTTAAATTGGGTTCAATTATTGAATTGATCGGTCGACCTATAAGGAAATGACCAGGGGTCAAAACATTTAAATCATCAATATTAGAAGTTAACGGTGTAAGAGGGCGAGAATTTAAGATTCCCTCTACTTGAACTGTTACTGTCAAAAATTCTTCGTAGGTTAATACTGAATTTCCTACTGTTCGTTTAAAATGAAATTTAAAGGATTTTACTCCTGCTTCAGATAGACCATTAAAATTTGGTGCTCTTGGGGGTATAAACTTCCATTGTATACCTTCCTCGGCTAGAAAATTAGCTAAAGTTCCATTCTGCTTTAGAAAAATACTCATTAATTTTTTTTATTTCTGTATTTGCACTAACAAAGTTTTTTGCATTGTCACTAAATATTTTTTTTGGTTTACCTCGTCGGGCAAAGAACCTCTTCAGACAAGCAATGAATGCTTCTGCGGTTAAGTCATTGACAATCTCTAGATGAATTGCTTTTGTCACCATACAAACAAAAATACAAACATATATCTTATGATAGTTACCCTTGCGTTGCCCTTTGTACTTTATCAAAAATGGGCCGCAGTAATCAATAGCACAACAATTAAATGTAAAGTTAATATTAATTCTCTCTTTAGGTAATTCTCCCATTAGTTGTTGAGAAATTATTGGTTTTGCCTTAAAGCAAATTATGCAGCTTTGGACTATCTTTCTAGCTATATTCCTGCCATTAATGGGCCAATAAATTTGTCTAATAGAATTTAATAGTGATTGTGGACCATTATGAAAATCCTTTTCATGAAAATAAATAAATATAAGTTCAGTTAACTTATTCTTGGCAGGCAAAATAATGGGATGTCTTTGACTATAACTTAAATTAGAATTCTTTATCCTACCACCTACCCTACCTTAACAGACCTTTTTCATCTAAGAAGGGATCAAAATATTTTAACTTACTCCTTGATGTTATCTGTAGACCTTTCTGCAACAAAGAAATTTCTTCTGCAAAATACCTACCTTGGATATATTTAAGGAGTGTATTCCTTGACAGCTCCATTTCATCTATACTAATACTACCTGTTCGTTTCTCACTTGTGTTCCTACAGTTGTAGATAAATCTGAAAAGTAAACTAAGAATTCGTATTAGTTTCAAGAAATCATTAGTTATTTTTAGGAAGTCATCAAAGAATGAATCAGTTTTTAAAGTCAACAAGGAAGTCGTAACTGGTTTCAGTTCTGAAGAATAAAGCTCATCACTAAGTCCATTTTTATCTTGAAAATTGTCCTTGTTTAAAAAATCAGGACCTTTCCACCACAGCTTGTTAGATCCAAGAGTTGTAGCATCTGATCCTCTGGAAATGATGTCGGCTGGGTTCATTTCTGAAGACACATGTCCCCACTGATAGTTAGAAGTAAGTTGTTGAATTTGTGAGACTCTATTACTCACAAAGGTTTTCAAAAGATGCGGTGATGTATTGATCCAGGCTAAAGCAATGCTTGAATCTGACCAGAGCTTAACGTCATCAATTTTGAGTTTCAAAGCTTCTAAAACCTTTTGCATAAGTTTGGACAGGAGTAGACATGCTGATAGTTCTAATCTAGGAATAGTCATAGTCTTGATTGGTGCTACACGAGATTTGCTACAAAGAAGTTTACTACAATATTCACCAGGGCTTGTAATGCTTTGAAGATATATCACTGCCCCAAATGCCTTCTCGGAGGCATCCGCAAATCCCTGTAAAATGAGCATTGAAAAGGTCTCTTTTAAAATGCAACGAGGTACTTGTATATTTTCTATACTCTGAAGAGTTTTAATAAGCACATTCCATTCATTGGCAAGATGGTGGTGGTAACTGTTCCGCCCAGTCTAGCTTAAGCAACCAAAGTGCTTGCATGAATATCTTTGCCTTGCTAATAATAGGACCGAGTAGGCCTAAAGGATCATATAATCTCGCTATTTGAGATAAAACATCTCTCTTCGTAACATCAGGCTTTTCATTAACAGTAACTTTATATTGCAATGTATCCTTCTTATTATTCCACAACATACCTAACGTCTTCACAGTTGTATTACTATTACGATCAAATGAAAAATTCTGTAAATCAGAGTTCTGAGAATCAAAACTAGTACACCACTTGTGTAGCTTCATTCCTCCTCTTTGGAGCAATTCTGTCAAATCTTTCTGGAGCTGAATGCATTCCTTCAAATTCGAAGATCCAGTAAGACAGTCGTCTACATAGAAATCTTCCAAGACCACTTTCGATGCTACAGGAAAATCCTTTTCTTCATCCTTCGCTAACTGTTGAAGAGTCCTTTGTGCCAAATATGGAGCGCATGCTGTGCCATAAGTTACCGTTTTGAGTCTGTATATTTCTATAGGCTTATCTTCATCTTCCTTCCAAAGTATTTTCTGATATTTGGTCTGCGATGGCAATATTTCAATTTGTCGAAACATCTTCTCAATATCGGCAGTAAATGCATAAATATGCTTTCTAAACCGTATCATGATGGAAAAAAGTTCCTCTTGAATCATTCCACCTTTACATAATATGTCGTTCAATGAACAACCGTTAGTAGTTTTGGCACTCGCGTCGAACACAACGCGTAACTTTGTTGTTTTACTATCAGGTTTCAGCACGCCATGATGAGGAAGAAAATATCCTCCTTCAGTTTCAGAATAGTCTTCCATCCTCTCCATATGATTTAATGATTCATATTCCCTTAAAAATGAAACATAAAGTTCTTTCATTACAGAATCACTCGACAAACGTTTCCACAACTGATTCAGTCTTTTTTCAGCGATTTCCTTTGAATCCCCTAATTGTATGTTTTCACCAATATCTGGCTTGAACGGCATTTTAACCACATATCTTCCATCCGCATGCCGGTAAAATGAGTTTTTAAAAAGTTCGTTGCAATAATTTAATTCAGAATTAACTGTAGATTTAGTTTCATTTACTTCTTCAACTTCCCAGAATGACTTTACTAAGTTATTTAACGAATTAATCTCTGTTGACAAAAAACAATAATTTAAGTCATAATTTTTTACATTTGGAATTCTAATGCTTCCAGAAACTAAAAAGCCGAAGCAGCTGTTTTGAAGAAGTAACTCATTATCTTCTAAACGTATTTTATCTGTTTTTAAAAATTCAAAAAATAATTCCGCACCTAATAATAAATCTACCTTTTTTGCCTTGAAAAATTCATCATCAGCTAACTTTATTCCTTTCGGAATATTTAATTTCGAAATATCAATAGATTTCGATGGTGTCATGTCAGTTATTTTGGGAACAACTAATAACTCTATTTCCCATTCATTTTCCTTTTCTAAGTTCGATAAACGCGTCTTTATTTGCGATTTAACATTCAAAGTAGTGTTGCCTATTCCACTAACTGGAATAAATGCTCGTTCTTTTTTTATTCCTAATGAGTTCATAACACCTACAGTACAAAAATTAGAAGTCGAAGCTGAATCAAGCACGGCTCTAAAAGGAATTCGTTCATCGTAAACATCGCGAAGATAAACAATCGCTGTATTTATTAACACAAATTTAGATTTATTTGCAGCTGCCATCAAAGTTGTGTGGGGGGGAGAGGGGCAGTCCTCTTTCCCATTCACTGACGAAAGGTTCAAGGTCAATTCATTTTCTTTTCTTTCGATGATTCATTTTGTTTTTCGTCAATTTTATGTAACAGCGAATGATGTGTGTCTTTCTTACAGACATAACAGCTAAATTTAGCCTTACACACACTGCGATAATACGTGTGATGGAGAAAGGCATTTAATGCATAATTTATATTCTTTAACAAAATCATACCGCTCAGAAACAGAAATACTCTTAAATTTCGAACAATGATAAATTGGGTGTGGTTCTTTACACATAATACACTTTCGAAAAGGGTTTGTTTTAGTTACCAAGGATTTTGAATTTCTAGAGCGACTTAATTGATTTGATACTTTAGTAGCATAGCTCTGCTTAGGAAAACTAACTTTGTTTATTTCTTCAAGAATGCGAATTCTTTCTTCGAGAAATTCTAAAAATTCATCAAGTTTGGGAATTTCATTTGATTTTACGTTTTAGTTCAAATGCTTTTCTAGATTCTCTATCTAATTTATGCAATAAAATATTTAATATCAAAACATCAGATAAATTATTTCTATCAAATTCTAATACACTTAAAGATCTCAAACATCTTTTAACATTATCTACCAGTGATCTCAACTGAGAAGGTGAGTCATTTATTTTTTCAAATTTCAACAATTATTGATAAAGGCATCAACTACTGCTGCTCTTTTGTTTTCATATCTGCTTTCAAGTGCAGAAAATAGCGACTCAAATGTATCCTGACATGATTCTAACATTTTTGCTTCACCTTTAAGTGATGCTTTCAAATAAAACAGTTTCAGTTTCTCAGTATCATTTAAATTATTATTATTACCAATCATAGACATAAATTGCACTTTAAAATTTTTAAAATCTTCATATTTACCATAAAATTGAGGAAGAGGTAAATCAGGCAGTTTAAAATTTGATTTAGAAACAGTTTTGGTTTCAAATTTATCTGTATTATTTGTTTCACAATTAGAAAGAAAAATTCTAAATCTTACTTCGAACTCTTCGATGCTTTCTTCCAATTCTTGTGTAATGCTTAGATTATCCTTCAAGTCAATTTCCTCTGGCAAATTGGTGTATTCCACTATGAGTTGTTTAACCCGAGATTTTAATTCCAACAAAGAATCCAATTTAGTCTTCATAATAACATCATGGTTGAGTTTATTCTCCTCCATTTTATACTCATCAAGGAATTTTATCAAAGCTCCGAGTTTCGTTTTCACTACGCCGCGTTGGCGATTCAATGAAACAATATTAGTAGCCATATTCTTCTCCGGCTAACGTGAGACCAAACTGTTCTTGCCGAAGATAGCTCGAACTCATTTAATGATACTTAACTTCAGTAAGTGGACTGTAATATTAACAATAACAATTTTATTTTAACAAAAACAACATTATTGAATACTAGCACACGCATGTGCTTATAGTTAGTTACCTATGTAACTTAGCTAAGAGCGAGCAACCATATGCTCTTACATCAAGTCAGAAATCATTCATACTAATAAAGCAAAAACGAAATAACTTTAGGGTTACACTAAATCCAAACTCTGCTTGGCGTAAAACAATGCTACCAAGCAATACTCTTTCAGACACCGAACAAGGTGTATAATGTCTTTGGCTCGGAGAGAAACATTGTTAACTTAAAATATTGTCGAAGTTAAAGTCTTCTTGAGAGGTTGATGACATGAGAAGAGGACTGAGAGAATCTCGATTCTGTCCTCTTCAGATTTTCTCAAATTAAGAAGCAGTTTGGCAAACGGCCACCTAAAAGGTGCAATAGGCCTGTGTAAATGATATTCGGAATCCTTCCCTCTTGACACAATACAATTCGTGGACTTAGTTTAACCTTATTGACACATAATTGAGATACAAACGAAAGACGGGTATTTGGGCAAAATTTCATTTTACGAAAAGTTTTAAATTCACTTTGTTTGAAAATGTCATTGTTCTTTTGCATCGATGGAAGTCACCTAAAGTTTTAGCATGTCGGCTGTTAAGCCCCACACAGAGTTTTTAGCCCTTAATTTAGATGGAGAACTCCCGTAGGACGCATCAAAGGCTGTCCTAAGCTTCATTACCTACTAGCACTCTCTCAAGAGGATTTTCGGCTCGAAAATGTTTCAAATGAACCTGTACCGCAACGATACTGTATACCTAGAATCACCTATACATTCTCAAGAGTTCGACCATAAAGCTATGGCAGCTGGCTTTTCTGCTATAATTCCAAGACGGCTGCATTTCATGGGAATACGGAAAATCGACTATCGTAATATGAATTGTTTTTATCTTGTTGGCTAACGTAGTTTGAATTAAATAATCAAAATGTTCTGAGCTGACATTAAGTTTCGAATCAGAGCTGTAGAGCTAGAACTTGCAAAACGAAAGAAATGCGGATTTTGGACAAGTGAAAAAGATATAAATGTCTATCGGACTGCGTGGAAATACAAAACTAACATCCTCGGATATCCATGGATTTTCCCTAAATTTCATCTCTCGAAACATGAAAAATAAGGCAGATGCTTTATACACATAATCATCTTTCAATTCTACCTATCTTAAAAAAAGAAGCCAAAGTTGCCTTGGACAGTGCTAGACCGAAATTGAATAGAGTGCTAGACTTGGGAGTGCTAGACCGAAATTGTGTTTTCGCCTACTCGGTGTTAAATGTGTAGGTAATACATGTTCTATTTTCTTCTCTTCGATCCACCATTTGCCAAGTCATTCAAATCTATAAATACTAGCAGTTCGAGCCGGTTTTAACTCAGGCAAGCGGACTGGCGGCATGGTTGATTTACATGATTTTCCTCTTGTAAAACGTTGATACGAATTTTGTTTTCTTAGAAAGTCTTCTACGGTAGGCATTCCTCCCCTTAGGCTGGTAACCCTCATGCACTTTGTCATATTTCAATAACCTAACCTAAATTTAATCTTTCCTTCCGTCTTTGCGGCTATAATATTCGTCACCTGTTATGCTGCAACTTTGGCAACACTCTTGATGATGAAATCGTTAAACGTCCGATCGATTTCGCCATTCCAGAAATATTTTTCAAAAGCAAGTGTCTGGCCATTATAAAGAAGTGCTGATGCAATTTGTGAGCTACAGTGGCTTGAAATAGTTAT